AACATTGGCTACCAGAAATCGCTTACCCCACCTTTAAGGATACATTGGATACATTGTATTTGTTTTGCCACCTTTTATTTATGCAAATTTAAAGTTAAAAATAAATAAATAAAGTGTTTTCCCCACAAATTAAATGCAAAATATTTACAATAAATGTTTAATTTCATTTACCTGACCAATCAGTAATTAGAATATAGTAAAACATGAAACTAGACAGAGTCTGTCAAAATAAAAGTCCTATATTACTATGTTGATACCTATACTGTATATTTTAAGGATACTTTAAATTTAATTCAATTTTCAAATTACTTATACATCATGATAGTATGGTTTTGCTGTGCTTTAAGTCAAAAATAAAACTTTTTATCCACAAACTTTCATTACCGTAATGTGAAATATCTCATGACTTAAATGCAAAATATATACTGTAAATATTTTAATTAATTAGTATTTGTTTTACCTTATGTAATTTATGCAATTTTAAAGTAAAAAAATATTACAGTTTTGTCATGATTCAGAATAATGGCAACAAAAAAAAATCATTATCATCAATCATTACAGTAAAGAGTTTTTGAATGAAAAGTGACTATCTGTCATTAAAATAATATATTTTTGGCCTTTTCCAAAAGGCTTTTTTCTTTTTAGGCTTCATTTTCTATATGCAAAATATGTCCTTTTTTTTTAAACGTCGCTTGGAGATAATTTTGTGAGATCCACTCTTATTCATTATTTATAAAAGAAACTGGTGTGATCGCTCTAATGACAGGGCAAAATATAATTGTGACTTGCAGCTTGACAGTATTTTTACTGGAAAAGTGCACAAACCTGAATCTTCTGAATGATCTCTGCTACTTTGACTGCTGGGTCTTGAGCAACTGTAAGTTTGCTCTGGGCGTTCATCTTTGTATTCATCCAGCCTAAAGCTTCACACACACTCTTCTCAACAACACTCATCTCCTCGGCGCTCAAGTGCTGGTAGCGCTCATCCTGCTGGTCAAATGGCAGACATGACCACAGCATTTAATGCATCTCAGCTTCCACTCAATTCAGTTTAAAGTGTACCTCAGCATTACATTTTCTTTAAGTGCATCAATACTGATGAGGAACAATACGATGAATATGATGAATGTAATGAGTAAATGCAATTAATGTAAAATGCTCTTAAGAATAAATAAGCCAATCTGAACACTGCTAAATATTAGGATGCCGTTACATACACAATAATTCTGATAAAGATATAACATTGTAATAATGAATTAAATGGCCAAAACAACTGATATAAAGTCAAACACTTGAAACATTTTTTTAAGTGAATGTGTTCCCCAAGTAGTGGGAGACATAACAAGGCACATTAAAAAACTTGTAGATGAAAAAAGTGTAAGTTACGAAAGTAATTAGGCCAGTAGATCTGTGCAAAGGAGTTATCCCAAATAAAACCAATTAATGCCTATAAAAAAGGAGGTTGCACATCACTCCAAGGCTTATAAAAACACAACAGGCAAGAACTGTGCTTTAGTTGTAAAAACAAGCTTTTTCAAATCATTTTCTATTAACAGAACTATACAATATCAAAAAAGCTACATTGCCATTAAGCATTACAATTACCTTCTGTTTATACACGTCCACCGCCTTCATAAAAAGCTGAATTTTCTTGCCTAGCTCATCGAACGCTCTGGGTCGACCCTCATGCTCTCTGTACCGTTCTTCAATGGGCTCACCAAACTTCTACAAAAGACAAAGACAACATCCTGCTGTAACACACATTCATGCAGTTTTTCATTGGATGAACTGACCCGTGTGAAAAAGAACTACACTTCAGCCTAGTTTTAAAAAGACTACTTGTTACAGAAATAATATGAAGAGTTAATTTGCAAAAACCGATAAACGTCACTTTTAAAAAAAAGGACCTGATTTCCGTGCATTATTCTCCACATATAGCGCGATCTGAACCCTAAACACGTTTTGTCAAAATAAGTCAATTTTAGCGAATCAGCGCGCTGTATTCAGGCCAGGTGACAAGGCTACTTTCACATTGAAAAGACGTGCTAGCTGAGAGGAGTTTTGTCAAAGCTGACT